GCTTCTGCTCTATCTGCAGGCACATTTGGCACCTCAGAGCCAAGCCAAGTTTGATTTCCAAAAGTACATTAACAGGTCACTTGAAGAAGATTTCAAGGTTGTGGTGGGGATCAGGTGGGTTATATCAGTGCTCACTGTACTTAGAATTTCAAGCCAATCCGTTAATTACGCACTTTGGTGCATTTATGGAAGACTAATGACTTTTAATTCACTTTCAAAATAATGGTTCTGAGACTTGACAATTTCTTTCCACACTTGCAGCCCAACTATCTGGTTCTTTGCTGTAGTGTTCCTGATGTCTAATACCCATGGTAAGTAAGCCCTCGTTTTACTTGACTATGTCTCTCGTGCACGGGAAGCACATGCAGAGAGACTAGTTTTACTTAATTATGCCCTCAAATTTAAGTTGCTAACCTTCTGTTTTTTCATGATTGAAACCCTTTAATGGGAAATTTACAATTATTATAATGGAAAAACATTCTGCTTCACATTATAAAAATATATGACATATTTGGTTTCTTAATAATGTGTTTTTGTTGTTTCCAGGCTCCCGTTCTTATCTGTGGCTGCCCTTTCTTCCATTGATTGTAAGCACCAATTATCACCATCCAATTCCTTTCTTCAAATTCCAAGGTCCCTCCAAGACAAGATGGATATTTATATGATTAAAATATCTAATAATTTATAAAAATATGGCTTGTGCAGATGATCTTATTAGTAGGGACAAAGCTTCAAGTTATCATAACCAAGATGGGCCTCAAGTTGAAAGAAAGGGGAGAAGTTGTTAAGGGCACCCCATTGGTTGAGCCTGGTGACCATCTCTTCTGGTTCAACAACCCACGCCTCATTCTCCATCTCATCCACTTTGTTCTCTTTCAGGTTCAAGTCTTTCCACTTGGGTTCACTTCATATATCTTCTGCATGTTTTTTTACCTCATAATTTTGCCAACTCTCTTCTGTTTTCTTTCTTTTTCACCTCACAGAATGCATTTCAACTTGCTTTCTTTGCATGGACTTGGGTAAGTAAACTTAAACCTATATTTAGTTTCATCATGGTTTGCTTCATCCGGAAAAAGCTCACAATTGATTTCATCTTTCTTCTTTTACAGTATGAATTTGGCTTGAAGTCTTGCTTCCATGAGAAGTTGGAAGACGTCATTTTGAGAGTATCAATGGGGTGAGTTTCTCCTTACTTGTAACTTGCAGAGAAACCAATTTATTATGAGAATTTAACTTACCAAAGTCCATTGATTCATGTTATTTTGTGCAGGGTCATCATACAAATACTATGCAGCTATGTAACTCTTCCTCTTTATGCCTTGGTAACACAGGTAAAAATGGTGCCAATTATGCAAAATTAGATGCTAAAAACTAGGAAATATGAACTGAGTTCTAACTATACATGCTGTGCACAAACAGATGGGTTCAACTATGAAGCCTACCATCTTTAACGACAGAGTGGCAAATGCTATCAAAAAATGGCACCTCTCGGCGAAGAAGCACTTAAAACACAACAAGAATAGTCCAACCAGTGTACCAGGCACTCCCTTGCATTCCATGTCCCCTGTCCATCTGCTGCGACACTATCAATCCGAGCACGACGTTGACAGTGTGCACACATTGCAGAGAATGTCTTATTTTGATGCCGACGGTCCAAACTCCTCGCCATCTCCTCACCAAGATGATCTATCTTGGTCTAACCAAGGTAGAAGCCATGGCCAGGAGGAAGAGATTAGTGCTCATGAATCTAACGCAGTGAACAATCTGATAGCTGGTTATGGTTCTCGGAGTCAACATGAAATTCAAATTCATTCAGCAGAATTCACATTTGAGAAATCAGAAAGGAGTTCAGAGATTAAAAAGTAAATGATAGGCGGCATGCAACACTACAATGAACACTATAGCTCGATGAGCTTTCCAATGAGGTCACTGTAAATGAAGAGAGTCTGCTAGATAAGCATTAGTTGTACAATTGTAACTCAAAGTTGATATTTTTTAAAATAAACCTTCTGCATAATCAATTTCCCAATTTAAGAACTTCATATGCCAATATGCAAGCACCATTGAAGAAGACGGTACGAATGCACCCAAAAAACTAAAACAAAGCAAGAAAGCATCAACAGGAACGCAGCAAATCACCACCAAGATGGAATGACAGAATCTTAAATTCAACATTAGGCCTAAAAAGAGTAATCATCTACTGCAACCAAGTTAATCTACTGTTTTATGCATCATCAAGAACACTTAATTTTGATAATCAAGGTTGGGAACAGAGCCCCCTTCAATTTCACAATGTCAAAAACATTGAAGTTAAGTATTGAATTCACTGGTTCAACCCAGTCAACAGATATCAGCATTTGTGCTTAAGCTAGAAAAATAATGTTAGAGAGTAAAGTTTGCTCAACCACACTCCTTTTTCACGTTTGGCATAAATTCTTCTAACAAGAACAGAAATCGAGCTAAGAGAATTGAAAGAAATCCAAGTGACAACAGCCAATTCGGATTTTTGCAAGGGCACATATTTAAGCCACAACAGACGCGCTGAAATTTATCATACCATTCGAAGCAAAGTCTATCTGTTTTATATTAGCTGGCTTTCTTCAAGACAAGAAGATCAACAATGTTCATGAGCAATTCAACACAACCAATAACCTCATGGGAGTGCATGCTTCACCAGTTCAAGGTTCTCCAAGTATAACACTTCAAGACCAAACTGAAAGAAGGCAAAAATAAAGAGATAGAGTAAACCTTGCATCACTGAACAGAAACCAGTGCATAAAACACAATTGAACCAGGAAGGCTCAGAGAGAAATTTTACATAACTGAAAGACTTCCAGCAACAACAGTTATTAACGAAACTCACTAATTCACACATAACCAATAACTTCAAGATTAGACCAGAATAGTCTCTCTTATCGGATAAGAAAACAAGTTGACTGCTTCCCCAGATCAAGGTTCTCCAAGCCAAAACCCATCCAAACAGCAGTTGAAGAGAGACCCTTAAAATTTCACGGTATAAATATCATGGACATTAAATTGACATGCATTGCTAGGCTTCTAATTGGAGCAGAGTTTGAAAATCTGAAAGAATCAACTGAAATCTAAGTGACAGCAGAAGCCCCAAGCTAAGCAATTTGGCTTCTTGAGAGGGGAAAGTTAATCTCAAAACTAAGAATACAAACCACCCACCATGTCCAACATTGCTGAAATTCAAATATAATTACAGAAGACATTCAACACCAATAATGGAATACAAGCACACAGCTAGAAAAAGACACAACATTTGAGAGCTTTAGTATTTAGAAACTAGACTATCCTGTCAAATATTGAGGTGCATACAAACAGGGGGCCTGCCAGGCACAACTTGGCCTACAGTCCAACAAATCCTGCCCATACACACAGACGCCACACCAAATTTGTCATCTAACGGATAATTAATGAACTGTTTGCAACATGATGCATTTCTAATAACAGAAAATGCAATGCATTTTAATTCTATAGCTGCCATTTATTTTAGACAGGTATGCTAATTCAATCTTATGAAAACTTCCGGAAAGTTTAATCTGAATTCTCCAACTAGAAAATCTAAATAAAGTCCATCAACTGAATGAAACCTCTTCGTTTTTACAAGCTTGTGCCATACATGAGCTCACTAAGAAGGTATTTCATGTTTTGAAAACCTATCCTGAGAACTTTGAATTAGAATTCTCAGAGACAAGACAAAGAAGTGGTAGGAGGGCGCGAGGACAAGCTGGGAGGTCAAATTCTAGCACATATCCTAAAATTGCTACAAACATGAAATCCCTTAGCATGAAGGTAGCTGAATCGTCTAAAGCTATTCCATGCTCACTTAGTGGTTCATCAAATATCAGAAGATGTCAAGTAACGACTGTGTGCTCTGGCACTATTGATGCAAGACAGCAGAGTACTCTGGTAAGAAGTAAAATATATGTTACGTTTTACGGCAATTTTGTAATTCTAAAGTCATCAAAAGTTCAAACTTCCAGCACACTGAGTTTTGTAAATGACAAATGGTTTATGACCTAGATTTATGTTTACTTTCAATTTTGTGTTTTCCATGATACACAATCTGAATTCAAATTTATCATGAAATCTAGATATGTCCTATCTATTTTCAGAGTCAGAATTTGGAACTTTGTGCTTGTCAATAATAGGTACTCACGATGGTAGAAAATCTAGATCATTTGAAGCAGATCCACGCTGTACATATCTACCTTGGACATCTTACCTCAATGAAAGTGACTCAACTGGTTTGACACTACCTAGTAATTTGAAACAAGTTGAGCATGTAAGTCTTCTTTTCTCGTGTTTTTTTATATACACATACATCTCGTTGGTCCTCGATAACTTAATGCCAAATTTCCTGCGAGGCTAAGAAAACTACTGTCGTTTTTCATTGATTGATGTCGCAAAAACTACCATGAGAACAATCAATTTTCTGTGTAGGTGAATCAGCAGGATATTGGTTACACAGAAAGCTTGACGTTGTTTGTTAAAGACTTAGGACCAACACCTCAGAAGATTGCCAGAAAGAAGTTACCTCTACCCAATCGGCACATAGTACTCTGAGTGATATATTTGCTTCATCACAATCTCAAAACTTCCAGGACAACCTTCATGAGCATCCTTCTATCATGAAGGGCACTGGTGACAAATTTGCATTCATGGGATGCGGACAAAAGAGAAAAGGGATCTTTAGCTGATGGACCAATGATTCATAAAACTATCTCACCATGAGAGGCAATGTTAGTTGTTTTCTATGATCTGGTTTTCTTCAAGATAAGAAAATCAACAATGCTCATTAGCAAATCACACACAACCATAATAGGAACATAAATATGGTGAATGCTTCACCAGTTCAATTAGAACACATCCAAAAACATTGATCGAAAGGCAGATATTAAAGAAGAAGAAAAAGGCAAATTTGCATCCACAACCACAACACATTTAAAAAGAAAGGAATTGAATACGGAGTTTACGAACTAAAATTACTTTAATAATACGAAACTGAGTTTAAACAATCGGAAAATATAGGAACCCATCCACAAACCCAAAAACATTACATACTAAATTGGCCCTCCGGCCAATCAACACAACACACCACCATCACTAGAGAACACAAACTATAACCAACAAACTAACGAAAACCAACAGAATAACTCAGAAATCACCACCACGCAGACGAAGGACAAGATGGAGAGTGGACTCTTTCTGGATATTATAATCTGCAAGGGTACGACCATCCTCAAGCTGTTTCCCAGCAAAGATCAACCTCTGCTGGTCCGGTGGGATCCCCTCCTTGTCTTGAATCTTAGCTTTGACATTGTCAATAGTGTCAGAGCTCTCAACCTCCAGAGTAATGGTCTTCCCAGTCAGGGTCTTCACAAAAATCTGCATGCCACCACGAAGCCTGAGCACCAGATGAAGAGTCGACTCTTTCTGGATGTTGTAATCCGCCAGAGTCCTTCCATCCTCCAATTGCTTCCCAGCAAAGATCAGCCTCTGCTGATCTGGAGGAATGCCTTCCTTGTCCTGAATCTTCGCCTTCACATTGTCAATCGTATCAGAGCTCTCGACCTCCAAAGTTATTGTCTTCCCTGTGAGGGTCTTCACGAAAATCTGCATACCACCTCTCAGACGCAGAACCAAGTGCAAAGTTGACTCCTTTTGGATGTTGTAATCCGCAAGGGTCCTACCGTCCTCCAATTGCTTACCGGCGAAGATAAGCCTCTGCTGATCTGGGGGGATACCCTCCTTGTCTTGGATCTTGGCCTTCACGTTATCAATGGTATCGGAGCTCTCAACCTCCAGAGTAATTGTTTTCCCGGTTAGGGTTTTGACGAAGATCTGCATACCACCTCTCAATCGGAGAACCAAGTGCAAAGTCGATTCCTTTTGGATGTTGTAGTCGGCGAGGGTTCGGCCATCCTCCAATTGCTTTCCGGCGAAAATCAACCTCTGCTGGTCTGGGGGGATGCCCTCCTTGTCTTGGATCTTGGCCTTCACGTTGTCGATGGTATCAGAGCTCTCGACTTCTAGGGTTATGGTCTTCCCGGTTAGAGTTTTAACGAAGATTTGCATACCACCTCTCAATCGGAGAACCAAGTGCAAAGTCGATTCCTTTTGGATATTGTAGTCGGCAAGGGTGCGGCCATCCTCCAATTGCTTTCCGGCGAAAATCAACCTCTGCTGGTCTGGGGGGATGCCCTCCTTGTCTTGGATTTTGGCCTTCACGTTGTCGATCGTATCAGAGCTCTCGACCTCTAATGTTATGGTCTTCCCCGTTAGGGTTTTGACGAAGATCTGCATACCACCCCTCAATCGCAGAACCAAGTGAAGAGTTGATTCCTTCTGGATGTTGTAGTCGCCTAGGGTGCTGCCGTCCTCCAATTGCTTGCCGGCGAAGATGAGCCTCTGCTGATCGGGGGGAATTCCCTCCTTGTCTTGGATCTTGGCCTTGACGTTGTCGATTGTGTCAGAGCTCTCCACCTCGAGAGTGATTGTCTTGCCGGTTAGGGTTTTGACGAAGACCTGCATGATTGTCAATCTCAGAAGAAAAAAAAAATCGAATAGGAAATTGGAATTGGAAGAGAGAATTTCAGGAGCGATTTAAAAAGGCTTTGAGAGAATTGTGTGGAGAAGATGAAGAGGGGAGGTGGTTTATATACGGAAGATCAGCCGACTCCGAAAAGGATTCCAACAAGAGTCGGTAGATAAGAAAAGTCTATAAATTTCTAGGAAAATGGAGAAGTGACTTACTTTATTTTGGATTCCTTTAGGATAGAAGGAATAATTGTTCGGTGTACGTGGATGTTAATTAATTATTAAAATTGAAAAATGATTTTTTTAAGTAAGAAAAAATAAATAAAGAATTCTCGGTAATTTTGGGTGCAGGGCCGACGGGCTGGATCACGGGTGGGGGGTGATATGGGGTTATGGGGTTGTCGCTGAGCTGGAGAAGACGGTGGTTGCTTTTGGTTCTGTGGGAATTGGGTCGGGCGGATTCTGTTTGAGGTTGGTGGCAAAAAAATTTACTTGTATCAGAAATAACATTGTTTTGCTATTAATAATCAGTAACACAATGACAAGAAATAACATTATTTTACTATTATTAATCAATAACACAATGACAAGTGAAAAAGTTATCGTGCATATCATTGTGTGATTGTGAGTTTTTCTTATAGAGAGAGAGAGAGAGAGAGACTCAATGATTCTACGGGTTTTTTTGGGCTAAATTGGCTGACCACCTAGTTGGATGGGTTTGTGGGGTAAAACGACACTTTACCCTTTGTCATTTCATAAACGAGAACAGTTGACTATTGAATTGTTGTCAAGTGTTGTGCCATTTTCACTATAATGCCAATTTGACCAAACTTATTGTTATTTCAACCAGGTCAGATGAGAAAAGATTTTAAAAGCCAATAACAAAAATCAGAAGTTTCTCTTTCCCCTTATTTCGTTTACTTGTAGAGCTGGAAAACCTACGAGAAATCCAAAGAATATGATGTCTTCTCCTTTACATCATGAACTAGCTTCTCAGTTTCCAAAGGAAGAAGATGCAGAAGCTTGGAATCATGAATAAAATAAAATATTCTTTGCACTAAAGCCCCATGAAAATAATAAGGGTTTAAAAAAGGCTTCACAATATTTAAATGGAAGCCTGAAATGAAACAAATGGATTGAAATTGGCTAGCATTCCCTTTACAATACACAAAACAAGTCTGCTTCCTCCATTTTGAGGATTATCCCTAAATATATATACAAGAATGCCAATGTAATGAAGCACAAGTGATGCGATTAAATTATTTCTACTTCATATTATCAGGGAGAGCACAACCTTTGCAGATTGGACAAGAGTTTTTCATTGACAGCCACTTTTTGATGCAGCTCACATGGTAATCATGGCCGCAAGTTTTCAATGCCCCCACATCATCCCTGTCCTCGTACTCTTCCTGTCAATTAGGAACAGTGCTAGTTAGATATTTAACAGTTAAGCAATTTACATTCCAATTGGTCTAAAAAGCCACACTAACTGAAACTGGAATTTCAATTTCATGATTTTCTGTTTCAACTGGAAGATACTTACCAGGCAGATCACACATGTGCCTTCCTCTTGGATTTGATCTGACGAACAATAGATCGTTTCTGTCAAACACTTTGGTATCAAATCTTCAGACACGCCTGTGCTGACATTCCCAATCCTTTCACCCAGCGCTAGGAGTTCCTGTTTGTTCCAAACATTTCAAGAAATTCAGATACCTTAAAGTCATAGGAAGAAAAATAATAATTTAGGCAGGAATATCAATGTTACCTCGTAACTCATGTTGTCTATGTCCAGCCTCATGTCTCTATGATGATCAAATCGATTCCTTTTGGATATTGTAGTCGGCAAGGGTGCGGCCGTCCTCCAATTGCTTGCCGGCGAAGATCAACCTCTGCTGGTCTGGGGGGATGCCCTCCTTGTCTTGGATTTTGGCCTTCACGTTGTCGATCGTATCAGAGCTCTCGACCTCTAATGTTATGGTCTTCCCCGTTAGGGTTTTGACGAAGATCTGCATACCACCCCTCAATCGCAGAACCAAGTGAAGAGTTGATTCCTTCTGGATGTTGTAGTCGCCTAGGGTTCTGCCGTCCTCCAATTGCTTGCCGGCGAAGATGAGCCTCTGCTGATCGGGGGGAATTCCCTCCTTGTCTTGGATCTTGGCCTTCACGTTGTCGATGGTATCAGAGCTCTCGACTTCTAGGGTTACGGTCTTCCCGGTTAGGGTTTTGACGAAGATTTGCATACCACCTCTCAATCGGAGAACCAAGTGCAAAGTCGATTCCTTTTGGATATTGTAGTCGGCAAGGGTGCGGCCATCCTCCAATTGCTTTCCGGCGAAAATCAACCTCTGCTGGTCTGGGGGGATGCCCTCCTTGTCTTGGATCTTGGCCTTCACGTTGTCGATGGTATCAGAGCTCTCGACTTCTAGGGTTACGGTCTTCCCGGTTAGGGTTTTGACGAAGATTTGCATACCACCTCTCAATCGGAGAACCAAGTGCAAGGTCGATTCCTTTTGGATATTGTAGTCGGCAAGGGTGCGGCCGTCCTCCAATTGCTTGCCGGCGAAGATCAACCTCTGCTGGTCTGGGGGGATGCCCTCCTTGTCTTGGATTTTGGCCTTCACGTTGTCGATCGTATCAGAGCTCTCGACCTCTAATGTTATGGTCTTCCCCGTTAGGGTTTTGACGAAGATCTGCATACCACCCCTCAATCGCAGAACCAAGTGAAGAGTTGATTCCTTCTGGATGTTGTAGTCGCCTAGGGTTCTGCCGTCCTCCAATTGCTTGCCGGCGAAGATGAGCCTCTGCTGATCGGGGGGAATTCCCTCCTTGTCTTGGATCTTGGCCTTCACGTTGTCGATGGTATCAGAGCTCTCGACTTCTAGGGTTACGGTCTTCCCGGTTAGGGTTTTGACGAAGATTTGCATACCACCTCTCAATCGGAGAACCAAGTGCAAAGTCGATTCCTTTTGGATATTGTAGTCGGCAAGGGTGCGGCCATCCTCCAATTGCTTTCCGGCGAAAATCAACCTCTGCTGGTCTGGGGGGATGCCCTCCTTGTCTTGGATCTTGGCCTTCACGTTGTCGATGGTATCAGAGCTCTCGACTTCTAGGGTTACGGTCTTCCCGGTTAGGGTTTTGACGAAGATTTGCATACCACCTCTCAATCGGAGAACCAAGTGCAAGGTCGATTCCTTTTGGATATTGTAGTCGGCAAGGGTGCGGCCGTCCTCCAATTGCTTGCCGGCGAAGATCAACCTCTGCTGGTCTGGGGGGATGCCCTCCTTGTCTTGGATTTTGGCCTTCACGTTGTCGATCGTATCAGAGCTCTCGACCTCTAATGTTATGGTCTTCCCCGTTAGGGTTTTGACGAAGATCTGCATACCACCCCTCAATCGCAGAACCAAGTGAAGAGTTGATTCCTTCTGGATGTTGTAGTCGCCTAGGGTTCTGCCGTCCTCCAATTGCTTGCCGGCGAAGATGAGCCTCTGCTGATCGGGGGGAATTCCCTCCTTGTCTTGGATCTTGGCCTTCACGTTGTCGATGGTATCAGAGCTCTCGACTTCTAGGGTTACGGTCTTCCCGGTTAGGGTTTTGACGAAGATTTGCATACCACCTCTCAATCGGAGAACCAAGTGCAAAGTCGATTCCTTTTGGATATTGTAGTCGGCAAGGGTGCGGCCATCCTCCAATTGCTTTCCGGCGAAAATCAACCTCTGCTGGTCTGGGGGGATGCCCTCCTTGTCTTGGATCTTGGCCTTCACGTTGTCGATGGTATCAGAGCTCTCGACTTCTAGGGTTACGGTCTTCCCGGTTAGGGTTTTGACGAAGATTTGCATACCACCTCTCAATCGGAGAACCAAGTGCAAGGTCGATTCCTTTTGGATATTGTAGTCGGCAAGGGTGCGGCCGTCCTCCAATTGCTTGCCGGCGAAGATCAACCTCTGCTGGTCTGGGGGGATGCCCTCCTTGTCTTGGATTTTGGCCTTCACGTTGTCGATCGTATCAGAGCTCTCGACCTCTAATGTTATGGTCTTCCCCGTTAGGGTTTTGACGAAGATCTGCATACCACCCCTCAATCGCAGAACCAAGTGAAGAGTTGATTCCTTCTGGATGTTGTAGTCGCCTAGGGTTCTGCCGTCCTCCAATTGCTTGCCGGCGAAGATGAGCCTCTGCTGATCGGGGGGAATTCCCTCCTTGTCTTGGATCTTGGCCTTCACGTTGTCGATGGTATCAGAGCTCTCGACTTCTAGGGTTACGGTCTTCCCGGTTAGGGTTTTGACGAAGATTTGCATACCACCTCTCAATCGGAGAACCAAGTGCAAAGTCGATTCCTTTTGGATATTGTAGTCGGCAAGGGTGCGGCCATCCTCCAATTGCTTTCCGGCGAAAATCAACCTCTGCTGGTCTGGGGGGATGCCCTCCTTGTCTTGGATCTTGGCCTTCACGTTGTCGATGGTATCAGAGCTCTCGACTTCTAGGGTTACGGTCTTCCCGGTTAGGGTTTTGACGAAGATTTGCATACCACCTCTCAATCGGAGAACCAAGTGCAAGGTCGATTCCTTTTGGATATTGTAGTCGGCAAGGGTGCGGCCGTCCTCCAATTGCTTGCCGGCGAAGATCAACCTCTGCTGGTCTGGGGGGATGCCCTCCTTGTCTTGGATTTTGGCCTTCACGTTGTCGATCGTATCAGAGCTCTCGACCTCTAATGTTATGGTCTTCCCCGTTAGGGTTTTGACGAAGATCTGCATACCACCCCTCAATCGCAGAACCAAGTGAAGAGTTGATTCCTTCTGGATGTTGTAGTCGCCTAGGGTTCTGCCGTCCTCCAATTGCTTGCCGGCGAAGATGAGCCTCTGCTGATCGGGGGGAATTCCCTCCTTGTCTTGGATCTTGGCCTTCACGTTGTCGATGGTATCAGAGCTCTCGACTTCTAGGGTTACGGTCTTCCCGGTTAGGGTTTTGACGAAGATTTGCATACCACCTCTCAATCGGAGAACCAAGTGCAAAGTCGATTCCTTTTGGATATTGTAGTCGGCAAGGGTGCGGCCATCCTCCAATTGCTTTCCGGCGAAAATCAACCTCTGCTGGTCTGGGGGGATGCCCTCCTTGTCTTGGATCTTGGCCTTCACGTTGTCGATGGTATCAGAGCTCTCGACTTCTAGGGTTACGGTCTTCCCGGTTAGGGTTTTGACGAAGATTTGCATACCACCTCTCAATCGGAGAACCAAGTGCAAGGTCGATTCCTTTTGGATATTGTAGTCGGCAAGGGTGCGGCCGTCCTCCAATTGCTTGCCGGCGAAGATCAACCTCTGCTGGTCTGGGGGGATGCCCTCCTTGTCTTGGATTTTGGCCTTCACGTTGTCGATCGTATCAGAGCTCTCGACCTCTAATGTTATGGTCTTCCCCGTTAGGGTTTTGACGAAGATCTGCATACCACCCCTCAATCGCAGAACCAAGTGAAGAGTTGATTCCTTCTGGATGTTGTAGTCGCCTAGGGTTCTGCCGTCCTCCAATTGCTTGCCGGCGAAGATGAGCCTCTGCTGATCGGGGGGAATTCCCTCCTTGTCTTGGATCTTGGCCTTCACGTTGTCGATGGTATCAGAGCTCTCGACTTCTAGGGTTACGGTCTTCCCGGTTAGGGTTTTGACGAAGATTTGCATACCACCTCTCAATCGGAGAACCAAGTGCAAAGTCGATTCCTTTTGGATATTGTAGTCGGCAAGGGTGCGGCCATCCTCCAATTGCTTTCCGGCGAAAATCAACCTCTGCTGGTCTGGGGGGATGCCCTCCTTGTCTTGGATCTTGGCCTTCACGTTGTCGATGGTATCAGAGCTCTCGACTTCTAGGGTTACGGTCTTCCCGGTTAGGGTTTTGACGAAGATTTGCATACCACCTCTCAATCGGAGAACCAAGTGCAAGGTCGATTCCTTTTGGATATTGTAGTCGGCAAGGGTGCGGCCGTCCTCCAATTGCTTGCCGGCGAAGATCAACCTCTGCTGGTCTGGGGGGATGCCCTCCTTGTCTTGGATTTTGGCCTTCACGTTGTCGATCGTATCAGAGCTCTCGACCTCTAATGTTATGGTCTTCCCCGTTAGGGTTTTGACGAAGATCTGCATACCACCCCTCAATCGCAGAACCAAGTGAAGAGTTGATTCCTTCTGGATGTTGTAGTCGCCTAGGGTTCTGCCGTCCTCCAATTGCTTGCCGGCGAAGATGAGCCTCTGCTGATCGGGGGGAATTCCCTCCTTGTCTTGGATCTTGGCCTTCACGTTGTCGATGGTATCAGAGCTCTCGACTTCTAGGGTTACGGTCTTCCCGGTTAGGGTTTTGACGAAGATTTGCATACCACCTCTCAATCGGAGAACCAAGTGCAAAGTCGATTCCTTTTGGATATTGTAGTCGGCAAGGGTGCGGCCATCCTCCAATTGCTTTCCGGCGAAAATCAACCTCTGCTGGTCTGGGGGGATGCCCTCCTTGTCTTGGATCTTGGCCTTCACGTTGTCGATGGTATCAGAGCTCTCGACTTCTAGGGTTACGGTCTTCCCGGTTAGGGTTTTGACGAAGATTTGCATACCACCTCTCAATCGGAGAACCAAGTGCAAGGTCGATTCCTTTTGGATATTGTAGTCGGCAAGGGTGCGGCCGTCCTCCAATTGCTTGCCGGCGAAGATCAACCTCTGCTGGTCTGGGGGGATGCCCTCCTTGTCTTGGATTTTGGCCTTCACGTTGTCGATCGTATCAGAGCTCTCGACCTCTAATGTTATGGTCTTCCCCGTTAGGGTTTTGACGAAGATCTGCATACCACCCCTCAATCGCAGAACCAAGTGAAGAGTTGATTCCTTCTGGATGTTGTAGTCGCCTAGGGTTCTGCCGTCCTCCAATTGCTTGCCGGCGAAGATGAGCCTCTGCTGATCGGGGGGAATTCCCTCCTTGTCTTGGATCTTGGCCTTCACGTTGTCGATGGTATCAGAGCTCTCGACTTCTAGGGTTACGGTCTTCCCGGTTAGGGTTTTGACGAAGATTTGCATACCACCTCTCAATCGGAGAACCAAGTGCAAAGTCGATTCCTTTTGGATATTGTAGTCGGCAAGGGTGCGGCCATCCTCCAATTGCTTTCCGGCGAAAATCAACCTCTGCTGGTCTGGGGGGATGCCCTCCTTGTCTTGGATCTTGGCCTTCACGTTGTCGATGGTATCAGAGCTCTCGACTTCTAGGGTTACGGTCTTCCCGGTTAGGGTTTTGACGAAGATTTGCATACCACCTCTCAATCGGAGAACCAAGTGCAAGGTCGATTCCTTTTGGATATTGTAGTCGGCAAGGGTGCGGCCGTCCTCCAATTGCTTGCCGGCGAAGATCAACCTCTGCTGGTCTGGGGGGATGCCCTCCTTGTCTTGGATTTTGGCCTTCACGTTGTCGATCGTATCAGAGCTCTCGACCTCTAATGTTATGGTCTTCCCCGTTAGGGTTTTGACGAAGATCTGCATACCACCCCTCAATCGCAGAACCAAGTGAAGAGTTGATTCCTTCTGGATGTTGTAGTCGCCTAGGGTTCTGCCGTCCTCCAATTGCTTGCCGGCGAAGATGAGCCTCTGCTGATCGGGGGGAATTCCCTCCTTGTCTTGGATCTTGGCCTTCACGTTGTCGATGGTATCAGAGCTCTCGACTTCTAGGGTTACGGTCTTCCCGGTTAGGGTTTTGACGAAGATTTGCATACCACCTCTCAATCGGAGAACCAAGTGCAAAGTCGATTCCTTTTGGATATTGTAGTCGGCAAGGGTGCGGCCATCCTCCAATTGCTTTCCGGCGAAAATCAACCTCTGCTGGTCTGGGGGGATGCCCTCCTTGTCTTGGATCTTGGCCTTCACGTTGTCGATGGTATCAGAGCTCTCGACTTCTAGGGTTACGGTCTTCCCGGTTAGGGTTTTGACGAAGATTTGCATACCACCTCTCAATCGGAGAACCAAGTGCAAGGTCGATTCCTTTTGGATATTGTAGTCGGCAAGGGTGCGGCCGTCCTCCAATTGCTTGCCGGCGAAGATCAACCTCTGCTGGTCTGGGGGGATGCCCTCCTTGTCTTGGATTTTGGCCTTCACGTTGTCGATCGTATCAGAGCTCTCGACCTCTAATGTTATGGTCTTCCCCGTTAGGGTTTTGACGAAGATCTGCATACCACCCCTCAATCGCAGAACCAAGTGAAGAGTTGATTCCTTCTGGATGTTGTAGTCGCCTAGGGTTCTGCCGTCCTCCAATTGCTTGCCGGCGAAGATGAGCCTCTGCTGATCGGGGGGAATTCCCTCCTTGTCTTGGATCTTGGCCTTCACGTTGTCGATGGTATCAGAGCTCTCGACTTCTAGGGTTACGGTCTTCCCGGTTAGGGTTTTGACGAAGATTTGCATACCACCTCTCAATCGGAGAACCAAGTGCAAAGTCGATTCCTTTTGGATATTGTAGTCGGCAAGGGTGCGGCCATCCTCCAATTGCTTTCCGGCGAAAATCAACCTCTGCTGGTCTGGGGGGATGCCCTCCTTGTCTTGGATCTTGGCCTTCACGTTGTCGATGGTATCAGAGCTCTCGACTTCTAGGGTTACGGTCTTCCCGGTTAGGGTTTTGACGAAGATTTGCATACCACCTCTCAATCGGAGAACCAAGTGCAAGGTCGATTCCTTTTGGATATTGTAGTCGGCAAGGGTGCGGCCGTCCTCCAATTGCTTGCCGGCGAAGATCAACCTCTGCTGGTCTGGGGGGATGCCCTCCTTGTCTTGGATTTTGGCCTTCACGTTGTCGATCGTATCAGAGCTCTCGACCTCTAATGTTATGGTCTTCCCCGTTAGGGTTTTGACGAAGATCTGCATACCACCCCTCAATCGCAGAACCAAGTGAAGAGTTGATTCCTTCTGGATGTTGTAGTCGCCTAGGGTTCTGCCGTCCTCCAATTGCTTGCCGGCGAAGATGAGCCTCTGCTGATCGGGGGGAATTCCCTCCTTGTCTTGGATCTTGGCCTTCACGTTGTCGATGGTATCAGAGCTCTCGACTTCTAGGGTTACGGTCTTCCCGGTTAGGGTTTTGACGAAGATTTGCATACCACCTCTCAATCGGAGAACCAAGTGCAAAGTCGATTCCTTTTGGATATTGTAGTCGGCAAGGGTGCGGCCATCCTCCAATTGCTTTCCGGCGAAAATCAACCTCTGCTGGTCTGGGGGGATGCCCTCCTTGTCTTGGATCTTGGCCTTCACGTTGTCGATGGTATCAGAGCTCTCGACTTCTAGGGTTACGGTCTTCCCGGTTAGGGTTTTGACGAAGATTTGCATACCACCTCTCAATCGGAGAACCAAGTGCAAGGTCGATTCCTTTTGGATATTGTAGTCGGCAAGGGTGCGGCCGTCCTCCAATTGCTTGCCGGCGAAGATCAACCTCTGCTGGTCTGGGGGGATGCCCTCCTTGTCTTGGATTTTGGCCTTCACGTTGTCGATCGTATCAGAGCTCTCGACCTCTAATGTTATGGTCTTCCCCGTTAGGGTTTTGACGAAGATCTGCATACCACCCCTCAATCGCAGAACCAAGTGAAGAGTTGATTCCTTCTGGATGTTGTAGTCGCCTAGGGTTCTGCCGTCCTCCAATTGCTTGCCGGCGAAGATGAGCCTCTGCTGATCGGGGGGAATTCCCTCCTTGTCTTGGATCTTGGCCTTCACGTTGTCGATGGTATCAGAGCTCTCGACTTCTAGGGTTACGGTCTTCCCGGTTAGGGTTTTGACGAAGATTTGCATACCACCTCTCAATCGGAGAACCAAGTGCAAAGTCGATTCCTTTTGGATATTGTAGTCGGCAAGGGTGCGGCCATCCTCCAATTGCTTTCCGGCGAAAATCAACCTCTGCTGGTCTGGGGGGATGCCCTCCTTGTCTTGGATCTTGGCCTTCACGTTGTCGATGGTATCAGAGCTCTCGACTTCTAGGGTTACGGTCTTCCCGGTTAGGGTTTTGACGAAGATTTGCATACCACCTCTCAATCGGAGAACCAAGTGCAAGGTCGATTCCTTTTGGATATTGTAGTCGGCAAGGGTGCGGCCGTCCTCCAATTGCTTGCCGGCGAAGATCAACCTCTGCTGGTCTGGGGGGATGCCCTCCTTGTCTTGGATTTTGGCCTTCACGTTGTCGATCGTATCAGAGCTCTCGACCTCTAATGTTATGGTCTTCCCCGTTAGGGTTTTGACGAAGATCTGCATACCACCCCTCAATCGCAGAACCAAGTGAAGAGTTGATTCCTTCTGGATGTTGTAGTCGCCTAGGGTTCTGCCGTCCTCCAATTGCTTGCCGGCGAAGATGAGCCTCTGCTGATCGGGGGGAATTCCCTCCTTGTCTTGGATCTTGGCCTTCACGTTGTCGATGGTATCAGAGCTCTCGACTTCTAGGGTTACGGTCTTCCCGGTTAGGGTTTTGACGAAGATTTGCATACCACCTCTCAATCGGAGAACCAAGTGCAAAGTCGATTCCTTTTGGATATTGTAGTCGGCAAGGGTGCGGCCATCCTCCAATTGCTTTCCGGCGAAAATCAACCTCTGCTGGTCTGGGGGGATGCCCTCCTTGTCTTGGATCTTGGCCTTCACGTTGTCGATGGTATCAGAGCTCTCGACTTCTAGGGTTACGGTCTTCCCGGTTAGGGTTTTGACGAAGATTTGCATACCACCTCTCAATCGGAGAACCAAGTGCAAGGTCGATTCCTTTTGGATATTGTAGTCGGCAAGGGTGCGGCCGTCCTCCAATTGCTTGCCGGCGAAGATCAACCTCTGCTGGTCTGGGGGGATGCCCTCCTTGTCTTGGATTTTGGCCTTCACGTTGTCGATCGTATCAGAGCTCTCGACCTCTAATGTTATGGTCTTCCCCGTTAGGGTTTTGACGAAGATCTGCATACCACCCCTCAATCGCAGAACCAAGTGAAGAGTTGATTCCTTCTGGATGTTGTAGTCGCCTAGGGTTCTGCCGTCCTCCAATTGCTTGCCGGCGAAGATGAGCCTCTGCTGATCGGGGGGAATTCCCTCCTTGTCTTGGATCTTGGCCTTCACGTTGTCGATGGTATCAGAGCTCTCGACTTCTAGGGTTACGGTCTTCCCGGTTAGGGTTTTGACGAAGATTTGCATACCACCTCTCAATCGGAGAACCAAGTGCAAAGTCGATTCCTTTTGGATATTGTAGTCGGCAAGGGTGCGGCCATCCTCCAATTGCTTTCCGGCGAAAATCAACCTCTGCTGGTCTGGGGGGATGCCCTCCTTGTCTTGGATCTTGGCCTTCACGTTGTCGATGGTATCAGAGCTCTCGACTTCTAGGGTTACGGTCTTCCCGGTTAGGGTTTTGACGAAGATTTGCATACCACCTCTCAATCGGAGAACCAAGTGCAAGGTCGATTCCTTTTGGATATTGTAGTCGGCAAGGGTGCGGCCGTCCTCCAATTGCTTGCCGGCGAAGATCAACCTCTGCTGGTCTGGGGGGATGCCCTCCTTGTCTTGGATTTTGGCCTTCACGTTGTCGATCGTATCAGAGCTCTCGACCTCTAATGTTATGGTCTTCCCCGTTAGGGTTTTGACGAAGATCTGCATACCACCCCTCAATCGCAGAACCAAGTGAAGAGTTGATTCCTTCTGGATGTTGTAGTCGCCTAGGGTTCTGCCGTCCTCCAATTGCTTGCCGGCGAAGATGAGCCTCTGCTGATCGGGGGGAATTCCCTCCTTGTCTTGGATCTTGGCCTTCACGTTGTCGATGGTATCAGAGCTCTCGACTTCTAGGGTTACGGTCTTCCCGGTTAGGGTTTTGACGAAGATTTGCATACCACCTCTCAATCGGAGAACCAAGTGCAAAGTCGATTCCTTTTGGATATTGTAGTCGGCAAGGGTGCGGCCATCCTCCAATTGCTTTCCGGCGAAAATCAACCTCTGCTGGTCTGGGGGGATGCCCTCCTTGTCTTGGATCTTGGCCTTCACGTTGTCGATGGTATCAGAGCTCTCGACTTCTAGGGTTACGGTCTTCCCGGTTAGGGTTTTGACGAAGATTTGCATACCACCTCTCAATCGGAGAACCAAGTGCAAGGTCGATTCCTTTTGGATATTGTAGTCGGCAAGGGTGCGGCCGTCCTCCAATTGCTTGCCGGCGAAGATCAACCTCTGCTGGTCTGGGGGGATGCCCTCCTTGTCTTGGATTTTGGCCTTCACGTTGTCGATCGTATCAGAGCTCTCGACCTCTAATGTTATGGTCTTCCCCGTTAGGGTTTTGACGAAGATCTGCATACCACCCCTCAATCGCAGAACCAAGTGAAGAGTTGATTCCTTCTGGATGTTGTAGTCGCCTAGGGTTCTGCCGTCCTCCAATTGCTTGCCGGCGAAGATGAGCCTCTGCTGATCGGGGGGAATTCCCTCCTTGTCTTGGATCTTGGCCTTCACGTTGTCGATGGTATCAGAGCTCTCGACTTCTAGGGTTACGGTCTTCCCGGTTAGGGTTTTGACGAAGATTTGCATACCACCTCTCAATCGGAGAACCAAGTGCAAAGTCGATTCCTTTTGGATATTGTAGTCGGCAAGGGTGCGGCCATCCTCCAATTGCTTTCCGGCGAAAATCAACCTCTGCTGGTCTGGGGGGATGCCCTCCTTGTCTTGGATCTTGGCCTTCACGTTGTCGATGGTATCAGAGCTCTCGACTTCTAGGGTTACGGTCTTCCCGGTTAGGGTTTTGACGAAGATTTGCATACCACCTCTCAATCGGAGAACCAAGTGCAAGGTCGATTCCTTTTGGATATTGTAGTCGGCAAGGGTGCGGCCGTCCTCCAATTGCTTGCCGGCGAAGATCAACCTCTGCTGGTCTGGGGGGATGCCCTCCTTGTCTTGGATTTTGGCCTTCACGTTGTCGATCGTATCAGAGCTCTCGACCTCTAATGTTATGGTCTTCCCCGTTAGGGTTTTGACGAAGATCTGCATACCACCCCTCAATCGCAGAACCAAGTGAAGAGTTGATTCCTTCTGGATGTTGTAGTCGCCTAGGGTTCTGCCGTCCTCCAATTGCTTGCCGGCGAAGATGAGCCTCTGCTGATCGGGGGGAATTCCCTCCTTGTCTTGGATCTTGGCCTTCACGTTGTCGATGGTATCAGAGCTCTCGACTTCTAGGGTTACGGTCTTCCCGGTTAGGGTTTTGACGAAGATTTGCATACCACCTCTCAATCGGAGAACCAAGTGCAAAGTCGATTCCTTTTGGATATTGTAGTCGGCAAGGGTGCGGCCATCCTCCAATTGCTTTCCGGCGAAAATCAACCTCTGCTGGTCTGGGGGGATGCCCTCCTTGTCTTGGATCTTGGCCTTCACGTTGTCGATGGTATCAGAGCTCTCGACTTCTAGGGTTACGGTCTTCCCGGTTAGGGTTTTGACGAAGATTTGCATACCACCTCTCAATCGGAGAACCAAGTGCAAGGTCGATTCCTTTTGGATATTGTAGTCGGCAAGGGTGCGGCCGTCCTCCAATTGCTTGCCGGCGAAGATCAACCTCTGCTGGTCTGGGGGGATGCCCTCCTTGTCTTGGATTTTGGCCTTCACGTTGTCGATCGTATCAGAGCTCTCGACCTCTAATGTTATGGTCTTCCCCGTTAGGGTTTTGACGAAGATCTGCATACCACCCCTCAATCGCAGAACCAAGTGAAGAGTTGATTCCTTCTGGATGTTGTAGTCGCCTAGGGTTCTGCCGTCCTCCAATTGCTTGCCGGCGAAGATGAGCCTCTGCTGATCGGGGGGAATTCCCTCCTTGTCTTGGATCTTGGCCTTCACGTTGTCGATGGTATCAGAGCTCTCGACTTCTAGGGTTACGGTCTTCCCGGTTAGGGTTTTGACGAAGATTTGCATACCACCTCTCAATCGGAGAACCAAGTGCAAAGTCGATTCCTTTTGGATATTGTAGTCGGCAAGGGTGCGGCCATCCTCCAATTGCTTTCCGGCGAAAATCAACCTCTGCTGGTCTGGGGGGATGCCCTCCTTGTCTTGGATCTTGGCCTTCACGTTGTCGATGGTATCAGAGCTCTCGACTTCTAGGGTTACGGTCTTCCCGGTTAGGGTTTTGACGAAGATTTGCATACCACCTCTCAATCGGAGAACCAAGTGCAAGGTCGATTCCTTTTGGATATTGTAGTCGGCAAGGGTGCGGCCGTCCTCCAATTGCTTGCCGGCGAAGATCAACCTCTGCTGGTCTGGGGGGATGCCCTCCTTGTCTTGGATTTTGGCCTTCACGTTGTCGATCGTATCAGAGCTCTCGACCTCTAATGTTATGGTCTTCCCCGTTAGGGTTTTGACGAAGATCTGCATACCACCCCTCAATCGCAGAACCAAGTGAAGAGTTGATTCCTTCTGGATGTTGTAGTCGCCTAGGGTTCTGCCGTCCTCCAATTGCTTGCCGGCGAAGATGAGCCTCTGCTGATCGGGGGGAATTCCCTCCTTGTCTTGGATCTTGGCCTTCACGTTGTCGATGGTATCAGAGCTCTCGACTTCTAGGGTTACGGTCTTCCCGGTTAGGGTTTTGACGAAGATTTGCATACCACCTCTCAATCGGAGAACCAAGTGCAAAGTCGATTCCTTTTGGATATTGTAGTCGGCAAGGGTGCGGCCATCCTCCAATTGCTTTCCGGCGAAAATCAACCTCTGCTGGTCTGGGGGGATGCCCTCCTTGTCTTGGATCTTGGCCTTCACGTTGTCGATGGTATCAGAGCTCTCGACTTCTAGGGTTACGGTCTTCCCGGTTAGGGTTTTGACGAAGATTTGCATACCACCTCTCAATCGGAGAACCAAGTGCAAGGTCGATTCCTTTTGGATATTGTAGTCGGCAAGGGTGCGGCCGTCCTCCAATTGCTTGCCGGCGAAGATCAACCTCTGCTGGTCTGGGGGGATGCCCTCCTTGTCTTGGATTTTGGCCTTCACGTTGTCGATCGTATCAGAGCTCTCGACCTCTAATGTTATGGTCTTCCCCGTTAGGGTTTTGACGAAGATCTGCATACCACCCCTCAATCGCAGAACCAAGTGAAGAGTTGATTCCTTCTGGATGTTGTAGTCGCCTAGGGTTCTGCCGTCCTCCAATTGCTTGCCGGCGAAGATGAGCCTCTGCTGATCGGGGGGAATTCCCTCCTTGTCTTGGATCTTGGCCTTCACGTTGTCGATGGTATCAGAGCTCTCGACTTCTAGGGTTACGGTCTTCCCGGTTAGGGTTTTGACGAAGATTTGCATACCACCTCTCAATCGGAGAACCAAGTGCAAAGTCGATTCCTTTTGGATATTGTAGTCGGCAAGGGTGCGGCCATCCTCCAATTGCTTTCCGGCGAAAATCAACCTCTGCTGGTCTGGGGGGATGCCCTCCTTGTCTTGGATCTTGGCCTTCACGTTGTCGATGGTATCAGAGCTCTCGACTTCTAGGGTTACGGTCTTCCCGGTTAGGGTTTTGACGAAGATTTGCATACCACCTCTCAATCGGAGAACCAAGTGCAAGGTCGATTCCTTTTGGATATTGTAGTCGGCAAGGGTGCGGCCGTCCTCCAATTGCTTGCCGGCGAAGATCAACCTCTGCTGGTCTGGGGGGATGCCCTCCTTGTCTTGGATTTTGGCCTTCACGTTGTCGATCGTATCAGAGCTCTCGACCTCTAATGTTATGGTCTTCCCCGTTAGGGTTTTGACGAAGATCTGCATACCACCCCTCAATCGCAGAACCAAGTGAAGAGTTGATTCCTTCTGGATGTTGTAGTCGCCTAGGGTTCTGCCGTCCTCCAATTGCTTGCCGGCGAAGATGAGCCTCTGCTGATCGGGGGGAATTCCCTCCTTGTCTTGGATCTTGGCCTTCACGTTGTCGATGGTATCAGAGCTCTCGACTTCTAGGGTTACGGTCTTCCCGGTTAGGGTTTTGACGAAGATTTGCATACCACCTCTCAATCGGAGAACCAAGTGCAAAGTCGATTCCTTTTGGATATTGTAGTCGGCAAGGGTGCGGCCATCCTCCAATTGCTTTCCGGCGAAAATCAACCTCTGCTGGTCTGGGGGGATGCCCTCCTTGTCTTGGATCTTGGCCTTCACGTTGTCGATGGTATCAGAGCTCTCGACTTCTAGGGTTACGGTCTTCCCGGTTAGGGTTTTGACGAAGATTTGCATACCACCTCTCAATCGGAGAACCAAGTGCAAGGTCGATTCCTTTTGGATATTGTAGTCGGCAAGGGTGCGGCCGTCCTCCAATTGCTTGCCGGCGAAGATCAACCTCTGCTGGTCTGGGGGGATGCCCTCCTTGTCTTGGATTTTGGCCTTCACGTTGTCGATCGTATCAGAGCTCTCGACCTCTAATGTTATGGTCTTCCCCGTTAGGGTTTTGACGAAGATCTGCATACCACCCCTCAATCGCAGAACCAAGTGAAGAGTTGATTCCTTCTGGATGTTGTAGTCGCCTAGGGTTCTGCCGTCCTCCAATTGCTTGCCGGCGAAGATGAGCCTCTGCTGATCGGGGGGAATTCCCTCCTTGTCTTGGATCTTGGCCTTCACGTTGTCGATGGTATCAGAGCTCTCGACTTCTAGGGTTACGGTCTTCCCGGTTAGGGTTTTGACGAAGATTTGCATACCACCTCTCAATCGGAGAACCAAGTGCAAAGTCGATTCCTTTTGGATATTGTAGTCGGCAAGGGTGCGGCCATCCTCCAATTGCTTTCCGGCGAAAATCAACCTCTGCTGGTCTGGGGGGATGCCCTCCTTGTCTTGGATCTTGGCCTTCACGTTGTCGATGGTATCAGAGCTCTCGACTTCTAGGGTTACGGTCTTCCCGGTTAGGGTTTTGACGAAGATTTGCATACCACCTCTCAATCGGAGAACCAAGTGCAAGGTCGATTCCTTTTGGATATTGTAGTCGGCAAGGGTGCGGCCGTCCTCCAATTGCTTGCCGGCGAAGATCAACCTCTGCTGGTCTGGGGGGATGCCCTCCTTGTCTTGGATTTTGGCCTTCACGTTGTCGATCGTATCAGAGCTCTCGACCTCTAATGTTATGGTCTTCCCCGTTAGGGTTTTGACGAAGATCTGCATACCACCCCTCAATCGCAGAACCAAGTGAAGAGTTGATTCCTTCTGGATGTTGTAGTCGCCTAGGGTTCTGCCGTCCTCCAATTGCTTGCCGGCGAAGATGAGCCTCTGCTGATCGGGGGGAATTCCCTCCTTGTCTTGGATCTTGGCCTTCACGTTGTCGATGGTATCAGAGCTCTCGACTTCTAGGGTTACGGTCTTCCCGGTTAGGGTTTTGACGAAGATTTGCATACCACCTCTCAATCGGAGAACCAAGTGCAAAGTCGATTCCTTTTGGATATTGTAGTCGGCAAGGGTGCGGCCATCCTCCAATTGCTTTCCGGCGAAAATCAACCTCTGCTGGTCTGGGGGGATGCCCTCCTTGTCTTGGATCTTGGCCTTCACGTTGTCGATGGTATCAGAGCTCTCGACTTCTAGGGTTACGGTCTTCCCGGTTAGGGTTTTGACGAAGATTTGCATACCACCTCTCAATCGGAGAACCAAGTGCAAGGTCGATTCCTTTTGGATATTGTAGTCGGCAAGGGTGCGGCCGTCCTCCAATTGCTTGCCGGCGAAGATCAACCTCTGCTGGTCTGGGGGGATGCCCTCCTTGTCTTGGATTTTGGCCTTCACGTTGTCGATCGTATCAGAGCTCTCGACCTCTAATGTTATGGTCTTCCCCGTTAGGGTTTTGACGAAGATCTGCATACCACCCCTCAATCGCAGAACCAAGTGAAGAGTTGATTCCTTCTGGATGTTGTAGTCGCCTAGGGTTCTGCCGTCCTCCAATTGCTTGCCGGCGAAGATGAGCCTCTGCTGATCGGGGGGAATTCCCTCCTTGTCTTGGATCTTGGCCTTCACGTTGTCGATGGTATCAGAGCTCTCGACTTCTAGGGTTACGGTCTTCCCGGTTAGGGTTTTGACGAAGATTTGCATACCACCTCTCAATCGGAGAACCAAGTGCAAAGTCGATTCCTTTTGGATATTGTAGTCGGCAAGGGTGCGGCCATCCTCCAATTGCTTTCCGGCGAAAATCAACCTCTGCTGGTCTGGGGGGATGCCCTCCTTGTCTTGGATCTTGGCCTTCACGTTGTCGATGGTATCAGAGCTCTCGACTTCTAGGGTTACGGTCTTCCCGGTTAGGGTTTTGACGAAGATTTGCATACCACCTCTCAATCGGAGAACCAAGTGCAAGGTCGATTCCTTTTGGATATTGTAGTCGGCAAGGGTGCGGCCGTCCTCCAATTGCTTGCCGGCGAAGATCAACCTCTGCTGGTCTGGGGGGATGCCCTCCTTGTCTTGGATTTTGGCCTTCACGTTGTCGATCGTATCAGAGCTCTCGACCTCTAATGTTATGGTCTTCCCCGTTAGGGTTTTGACGAAGATCTGCATACCACCCCTCAATCGCAGAACCAAGTGAAGAGTTGATTCCTTCTGGATGTTGTAGTCGCCTAGGGTTCTGCCGTCCTCCAATTGCTTGCCGGCGAAGATGAGCCTCTGCTGATCGGGGGGAATTCCCTCCTTGTCTTGGATCTTGGCCTTCACGTTGTCGATGGTATCAGAGCTCTCGACTTCTAGGGTTACGGTCTTCCCGGTTAGGGTTTTGACGAAGATTTGCATACCACCTCTCAATCGGAGAACCAAGTGCAAAGTCGATTCCTTTTGGATATTGTAGTCGGCAAGGGTGCGGCCATCCTCCAATTGCTTTCCGGCGAAAATCAACCTCTGCTGGTCTGGGGGGATGCCCTCCTTGTCTTGGATCTTGGCCTTCACGTTGTCGATGGTATCAGAGCTCTCGACTTCTAGGGTTACGGTCTTCCCGGTTAGGGTTTTGACGAAGATTTGCATACCACCTCTCAATCGGAGAACCAAGTGCAAGGTCGATTCCTTTTGGATATTGTAGTCGGCAAGGGTGCGGCCGTCCTCCAATTGCTTGCCGGCGAAGATCAACCTCTGCTGGTCTGGGGGGATGCCCTCCTTGTCTTGGATTTTGGCCTTCACGTTGTCGATCGTATCAGAGCTCTCGACCTCTAATGTTATGGTCTTCCCCGTTAGGGTTTTGACGAAGATCTGCATACCACCCCTCAATCGCAGAACCAAGTGAAGAGTTGATTCCTTCTGGATGTTGTAGTCGCCTAGGGTTCTGCCGTCCTCCAATTGCTTGCCGGCGAAGATGAGCCTCTGCTGATCGGGGGGAATTCCCTCCTTGTCTTGGATCTTGGCCTTCACGTTGTCGATGGTATCAGAGCTCTCGACTTCTAGGGTTATGGTCTTCCCGGTTAGAGTTTTAACGAAGATTTGCATACCACCTCTCAATCGGAGAACCAAGTGCAAAGTCGATTCCTTTTGGATATTGTAGTCGGCAAGGGTGCGGCCATCCTCCAATTGCTTTCCGGCGAAAATCAACCTCTGCTGGTCTGGGGGGATGCCCTCCTTGTCTTGGATCTTGGCCTTCACGTTGTCGATGGTATCAGAGCTCTCGACTTCTAGGGTTACGGTCTTCCCGGTTAGGGTTTTGACGAAGATTTGCATACCACCTCTCAATCGGAGAACCAAGTGCAAGGTCGATTCCTTTTGGATATTGTAGTCGGCAAGGGTGCGGCCGTCCTCCAATTGCTTGCCGGCGAAGATCAACCTCTGCTGGTCTGGGGGGATGCCCTCCTTGTCTTGGATTTTGGCCTTCACGTTGTCGATCGTATCAGAGCTCTCGACCTCTAATGTTATGGTCTTCCCCGTTAGGGTTTTGACGAAGATCTGCATACCACCCCTCAATCGCAGAACCAAGTGAAGAGTTGATTCCTTCTGGATGTTGTAGTCGCCTAGGGTTCTGCCGTCCTCCAATTGCTTGCCGGCGAAGATGAGCCTCTGCTGATCGGGGGGAATTCCCTCCTTGTCTTGGATCTTGGCCTTGACGTTGTCGATTGTGTCAGAGCTCTCCACCTCGAGAGTGATTGTCTTGCCGGTTAGGGTTTTGACGAAGACCTGCATGATTGTCAATCTCAGAAGAAAAAAAAAATCGAATAGGAAATTGGAATTGGAAGAGAGAATTTCAGGAGCGATTTAAAAAGGCTTTGAGAGAATTGTGTGGAGAAGATGAAGAGGGGAGGTGGTTTATATACGGAAGATCAGCCGACTCCGAAAAGGATTCCAACAAGAGTCGGTAGATAAGAAAAGTCTATAAATTTCTAGGAAAATGGAGAAGTGACTTACTTTATTTTGGATTCCTTTAGGATAGAAGGAATAATTGTTCGGTGTACGTGGATGTTAATTAATTATTAAAATTGAAAAATGATTTTTTTAAGTAAGAAAAAATAAATAAAGAATTCTCGGTAATTTTGGGTGCAGGGCCGACGGGCTGGATCACGGGTGGGGGGTGATATGGGGTTATGGGGTTGTCGCTGAGCTGGAGAAGACGGTGGTTGCTTTTGGTTCTGTGGGAATTGGGTCGGGCGGATTCTGTTTGAGGTTGGTGGCAAAAAAATTTACTTGTATCAGAAATAACATTGTTTTGCTATTAATAATCAGTAACACAATGACAAGAAATAACATTATTTTACTATTATTAATCAATAACACAATGACAAGTGAAAAAGTTATCGTGCATATCATTGTGTTATTGAGAGTTTCTCTTATTGAGAGAGAGAGAGAGAGAGACTCAATGATTCTACGGGTTTTTTTGGGCTAAATTGGCTGACCACCTAGTTGGATGGGTTTGTGGGGTAAAACGACACTTTACCCTTTGTCATTTCATAAACGAGAACAGTTGACTATTGAATTGTTGTCAAGTGTTGTGCCATTTTCACTATAATGCCAATTTGACCAAACTTATTGTTATTTCAACCAGGTCAGATGAGAAAAGATTTTAAAAGCCAATAACAAAAATCAGAAGTTTCTCTTTCCCCTTATTTCGTTTACTTGTAGAGCTGGAAAACCTACGAGAAATCCAAAGAATATGATGTCTTCTCCTTTACATCATGAACTAGCTTCTCAGTTTCCAAAGGAAGAAGATGCAGAAGCTTGGAATCATGAATAAAATAAAATATTCTTTGCACTAAAGCCCCATGAAAATAATAAGGGTTTAAAAAAGGCTTCACAATATTTAAATGGAAGCCTGAAATGAAACAAATGGATTGAAATTGGCTAGCATTCCCTTTACAATACACAAAACAAGTCTGCTTCCTCCATTTTGAGGATTATCCCTAAATATATATACAAGAATGCCAATGTAATGAAGCACAAGTGATGCGATTAAATTATTTCTACTTCATATTATCAGGGAGAGCACAACCTTTGCAGATTGGACAAGAGTTTTTCATTGACAGCCACTTTTTGATGCAGCTCACATGGTAATCATGGCCGCAAGTTTTCAATGCCCCCACATCATCCCTGTCCTCGTACTCTTCCTGTCAATTAGGAACAGTGCTAGTTAGATATTTAACAGTTAAGCAATTTACATTCCAATTGGTCTAAAAAGCCACACTAACTGAAACTGGAATTTCAATTTCATGATTTTCTGTTTCAACTGGAAGATACTTACCAGGCAGATCACACATGTGCCTTCCTCTTGGATTTGATCTGACGAACAATAGATCGTTTCTGTCAAACACTTTGGTATCAAATCTTCAGACACGCCTGTGCTGACATTCCCAATCCTTTCACCCAGCGCTAGGAGTTCCTGTTTGTTCCAAACATTTCAAGAAATTCAGATACCTTAAAGTCATAGGAAGAAAAATAATAATTTAGGCAGGAATATCAATGTTACCTCGTAACTCATGTTGTCTATGTCCAGCCTCATGTCTCTATGATGATCAAACATATTTCTGGACCCATACAAGGCTGGGCGATCCACAATCATAAAACCCTGCAATACAAAATGAAAAACAATTTATCTCCGATATTCAGGACTGAACAAGGTTTGTGCTATACTTAAGCATGATGAAGCGTTTTCGCAATTATCACAAAGGAGCTGCACCCTTCTGGAATAGACAAGATAAGCAAACATGCATCAGAAAGGACTACATACCTCAGACGAAAACCGATCCTGGAGACCAGTCTCTTCAGAGACCCGAAATCTTTCATTAGACATCCTCGACCTACCACTCCTATCACTGTTACGCCACCCAACCGTGGCCACTGGCCTAGGATGTCTAGGATAACTTTCAGACGCCAACTGCAATCCTTCTTCTGAATGTGGTGCATGTCCCACTCGCAAGTTGCTTGAAGAAGCCCTGAAGGTTGGGGCAGATCTTTGAGAATAGCTACTACGAACTCCCCTTACAGATTGCGGTAAGGCACCAGGATAACTTTGAGGAACAGCAGTGGCTCTGCTTGACATGAAATCATGATGGTATAACCCTGTTTCCACAGAAGCATTACCCACACTGCTTCCTACAAGGAAGTGGTTGGGATCATGACTGAAACCACTTGCATCTGCAATTTAAAAGCAATTTAATCAGTAACAAATAACAGGAACCTGGACAGAAGACATGGAATTAATCAAAATTTACCTGGAGTTATAATCCTTCCATGAGAAGGAGACACGTTAATATGATTCCACTCATGGGTCAAACCAATAGAACCCTGGCCAGAAAGATCCATCGTACTAGAATGGTCAATAGGGGGGAGATTTGTAGAATAAGAACTATGTAAAGGATTGCTCGACAAATGTGTCCTAGCTAAGTTGGACTCCAAATCATGTTCAGACCGGCTTCTCACATTTCGCATGGATCCCTCACCCCTAATTGAGAGTCCATTCCCTCTATAACTGGGCATCATAGACATGTGATCCCAAGGCATGTATGGGGTATCCATGTTTACTTTCTCCTGCTGTAATTCTGAAGATCTAGGGAGCTCAGAGGAACTACTTCCAGCACTATAGTATCTGCTTGTGCTGCCTCTCTCAGATACTGAAGGGATCCCTGGGCTTTTTCTCTTGTGAGGCCCTCTTCCATTGCTCATTGTGAGATCGACAAAACCACCCTCAACACCATGGAATGCCCTCCGGTCATAACTGGAAGAGGGTGCATGGTGAGCATAATTTCCACCGACCGTACCAAAGGTGCCAGCACCCAATGGATGCTGAAAAGGATCATGCGATGGACCAGAAGCATCAGGTTGATAATGTGGCACATCAACATTGTGGTTCAAGTTAGAATACCCATATGACCTCAGAGCTGGATTCCAATTTGACGCAAAAGGCATCCCGTCTATAAACATATTTTCCACAGGATATAAGAAAGAACCGTTCTCTCCAGTGCCAGCCCTGGCTGCTGTCCATAATTAAAATTAATTAGTCATGAAAACAAAAGATATTCAGCAGATCAGATATACAAGATTGAAATTCATAAGTAAATGATGAAATTTTGCAAATTATAGACCAGAAGAAAGGAAATGAAAAGAATATACTCAAGGACTATCAAGACACAGTACCCAAATGCCCAAAAGGTTGCTCCGTGTTCATATGATTCCAATTCTGATCATTTTCACCCTCAAAAACATGAGATGTGCTGAACTGATGTCTATGTCCCATAACTTTCGTCACCTTACAGCCACGAACAAGTTATGAGCTGGAACAGAATCTACCAAACAAACCCACAACCTGCACAAAACAGGGAAGGGATCTCAAAACATTGATTAATATTGTATTTTACTTCTACAGGAAGCCTAGGGCCCCCATGTGTTTTTGCCATTAACCATAAAATCTTGATAAGTAGCCCATTACGGAAAAATTTATATAAATATTGCCAGTAATAATTAATTTTTCTTTTTTAAACAAAGAAAGGAGAATTCTTGTGCAATTCAGAGTGTGGATGGGAGAAAGAAAGTAGCAACCTCGTTACAAATTCTAATTGAAAAAATTCTTCAACAGACTTCAGAAGATAAGAGAAGACCCCTCAAACCAAAACCAGACAAGTTTCAAAGAAATTAAAACTTGTCATCAAGTTCCAACAATGGAAAAATGCAACCAACACAAATATAAATGCAAGATGACAATTAACTTCCAAAGATGGCAAGGCAAAATGCATTTTAAGGAAGATTAACCCACCAAGTTCCTGCTTCACATACCAATTTAAATTTTCAAAATAGTTTGACTAAGTATGAAGTATATGCCACAACATCACCAAATAGATACTTGACCAAGAGAGCCGTGCCTATAAATGTGCTTTCACACTTTGATCCACCAATCTCCATTTTAATCAAGGCCAAAAATTGAAGTAAAAGTCAGGTTGTTCTGTTTAAAAAAATATACTGCTCCAGAGGACCGGTCAAAGCCTAATTGCACACCCACTAGCACCCTATGTCATTGTCAACCAACTCCCTTGTCACTCGCTTTCATCTCCAATAAGAAGGCATTTCCAATGAAAATAGAGGGAGCCATTTTTTTCTGAGGGATAAAACAGAATGGAAAGTGTAAAGACATAACAATTAGCTGAAAGTGAGGAGTGAAAAAGATGGAAACAGGACCTTCCTTGAAGACATTACCTGGGTTTGGACTTTGAATCACAGGATTAGAGATCACCTAGCAGGTGTAAAAGATGTAACAATCTCAATAACACACCATATCAATTTGCACTAGCATTTTCTTGAATTCAAATATCAGCTATAGAATCATAAATAGATAAACTAAGACCAGAAAAACCACTACCAGATCCCCCCTAGCTTCCAAGTTCTGAAAACTCACAGTTCTTAATACTTTCAGCTCTAAAATATTTATGAAGACTCATATTCTACATCAAGGTCAAACGTTCAAGGTGGTTGGAAATGTTCCAGATGAAAGCTGAAGATATTTATGAATGAAAGATAAAATTAGTACATAGATGCGAAAAATGTAAAATACATAAATAAATAAATGGATACACCTTCAGAGACAGTACACACAAATTATCAGTTTCAACCCTTCTTTACCCAAAATTATCAGATGAACTATGGATGACTTGCCATTCACATACAAGAAAAGATTGCTCTCTCCAAAACTAAGGAGGGGCAAGTTGAAGATCAGAGGCAGTGTATTCAATGGCTGAAATGAGACAGAAAAGTACCAGACACTCCTCAAGTGTTGTGGTGAAACTATTAAGAAAAGGATCTGAAATAAATTGAAATGTATTACCAAGGAAAAAGAGCACTAATATAATGAAATGTGTGCCATTTGGCTGAAAAATGTTCATGGGGAGCAAAGAGTGGAACACAAAAAATCCTTTGATAATCACTGCATAGATGAACTGTACACCATGCAGCACATATAAAACTTGGAAGTCACGGGCAATTCTAGGATAGGCATAAACATGACTCAAAGAAAAATACGAAAATTCATGAGAAGAACAAGTATATAACTCAATACTTGTCATGCATGAAGCTGCAAAAGTCAAAAAGATTATGGATACAAAGGAGTAACATGGTATTTTATTCCGACAATATGATAATATTGAAATGAAGACAACGTAATTTTTTTTTTTTTTTTTTAAAACTATCGTAATAAAATGCGTTGCTTCTGTTAGAAGAAGAAACAAATAGAAGTAATCAACCCTAGAACAAAAAAAGAGAGAAGGCGTAGTTATGTTTAAAAAACCCAACAAAATAAATCTGTGATATTATTAAGAGAATATATCAATCGTCAAATAGAAAGGATAATCCGGTAATTGCACATAGATCCATGATAATAATAAAAACATTGCTTACATTTTATTGCTGCCCTACAATACCTTTCTATCACGTAAAACCAAGTTGAGGTTAAGTCACTGATTACAAAAAGTAAGACTTAGATACAGATTCTGAAAACTGTAAACCCACAAGATCAGGTTAAGTCACTGATTACAAAAAGTAAGACTTAGATACAGATTCTGAAAACTGTAAACCCACAAGATCAGGTTAAGTCACTGATTACAAAAAGTAAGACTTAGATACAGATTCTGAAAACTGTAAACCCACAAGATCAGGTTAGCATAGCCAAAAAAATATACATGTTGCTTAAACCTGGAGCCTTCTAAGCCTACAACAAGTTTCTACGCTTACAAATCCCTCGCTCAATATGAAGAGAATCTTCCTCTGAAGACTTAAATGGTGTTGTCTTCTTACACGTCTTGAGAAAGTTTGCAATTGAAGCTATAGAGTACAAATAAAGAGGTATACTTGTACCCTATAAGAAGAGGTATACTCGCACCCTATAAGATGAGATTGGAGAGCTCAGAAGAAAGAAGCATGATATTAGTATTGTTAAGATTCTCTCCAGTGAGACTTGTCAGCAACAAGAAGATGTCCTAAAAAAAGGAACCAGGATATTCTCAAAAATCTGAAATCTGGAAACTTTTCTTCGTGTGAAAGCACAGAAAAGACCGTACAACAAGTCGAGGGTGCCATCAAACCTGATAACCTACGCAGCTACGCCAATCTGAAGAAACCAAACAATGAGTAAGCAGCCCACTGCCTAACATCCAGGCAATGGCAACACCAAACTTTTCCCTCCACCCTGGTATCCTACACCAATCTTAGGGAACCAAGCTCTGTGTTTCAGTGATACAAACATCAGCACCTGATTGCCCTCTACTTACGGGCAATCAATCACCACAAGGCTAATGATAAGAGGCACTAGATCCAAATCTCCACTTGTTAATTAAGCATCGCCTGTCAAATATTGCAAACCAAACTACATGGTTCATTCCCATCACCTAAGCACAAGATTATCCAGAGATGACATGTGTCAATGTATCAAAAGCTGGTCACCGTGATAACTTTTCATTGACAACACCTAAGCACACAATCATCCGTATATCCATCAGCTCACCGCTCTATACAACACCAACATACAGCAACATCACAGAACTCCATATACTAGGGCAATGAGAAGAATGAATTGACCACCAAAACATTTACGAAGTCAATGGAATTGCCCATGGCATTATAACTTAGCCAGCCTCTCCGTCACCTTAGTATGTACAATGTAAACACAAAAGCGAACATACTTGTGCTAAGTGCAGATCAATGACCTCACTAGACTGCATTGAACTCTGACATTTTCCATCACTAAACAAAGGGTCGAGAATGATCAATCTAAACATCATGACACTATCACCATCAAGGCAACCTTTTTTTCCATCTCAAATATGGCCTCCACTACCTCAGGTGGATGGATCCAGTTCTTAATGTAAATTCCAATTCAATACTACCTGAGCAAGTTAAAAATGGAGTCTTTAGTGGTTAGTACCATATAAAGTAGCTCTCAGAATACTACAGCTGACTAGGACTCTCAGAAAATGGCAGAAGATCGTGCTAATAAATCTTGAAGATAAGACATGGCTTCAATTGATATCCATGTTTTCAGAAGTCCAATTGACCAAAAAGTCCCTGCAACACCATTCATAATTCAGAGCATGAAATGAACTACCCCCCAACCTTTATACCCTAAACAAGTACTAGGGACAAAAAGTATTTAACAAAATAACCTGCAACTTTGCAAACAAAACTAAAGTAAGTCATAACTAATATTTCAAAAATATTTAGGAATAATAAGACACGACCTCAGAAATATGAAGAAACACGACCACTACACTGAGCTACAGCTAAAGTCCAACTGTATAATTTTCTAAGTTTACTTCAGAAAGGTATGGCTCCAAGAAATTCTCACCTGTAGGTGCAGTCATATCATCATTCCAGAACTTGGGTACTAAATATTGTTCATCTCGAGTTCGAACTCAATACAAGTATTGAAGTATGCAATACTGATACACCGTCAGCAAACCAAAACCTGCATAATAAGAACCATCTAAACCTACTCGATGCTAAGGTAATCCAGACCGAACACTGCATTATCTAAAAGACCCTCGTCCACCAAGCAAACCTTGGTCAAAATATAAACCCCAAAGCATGAAAATCATTTGCTATGAAACAGTATTAGAGGCCTTGATGGTAATAGTTATTAAGCAGAACTATTTCCACTCAATCTCTTACCAGGAGAACATATTATTTTATGACAACAATCAATCATCATGACCATGATCAAATTACAAGCCCCGGCTCATTATACACATGTTATAGCCAAGTACAATAGAATTGATCGGACAAACATATTTACACAACCCACCAATCCACATTACCACAAAGGAAAAATTACCAAAAAATCAGAAAAACGTAAATACAGGGCAGGCAGAAAAATAAATAAGAAAATCATCCAAATTTTATGCACCAGCATCAAACAAACAAACCTCAACGATCAGAGGCCAGATGATCAGAAACAACAAAAGACTACCGAAAATGATGATCAGAAACAAGGAACATGAATTGATCGAGAAAATGACGATCGGACCTCAAAATCAAAAAAATCAAAAAACATGTGAAGAAAATAATAAATAAAAAAATTGTGTAGAAACAATAAAAATGACGATCAAGCTTGGAAAACTGAAAGTATGGTAACAAAAAATGGAAGAGCACGCATACCTTGAAGTCGATGAAGGGCTGGTTCTGCAAAAAGGAACAAACTTTGGGGGGGAGAGAGAGAGAGATAGAGAGAAAGATAATTCTGCTCTTGAGGAAGGAAGGAGAGAGATGAATAAAGCGGTTGGGTGCGTTGTTTGCAGAAATAAGCGGAGGAGAAATTGTCTGGACTGCTCAATGTTACCGGATACCGACATAATCTGTATTTCTTTTTTTTCTTTTTGTTTTACTTTATTATTAAAATAAGGTTAAATAAAATTAAAAAAATCAGAGGACGTACGTAGCACGACGTCGTAATGAGACAAGCGACGGTGAATTGTGAGGTGCGTTTCGCGGGAGATAAGAATCATTTGTCCTTGCTCATTAGAGCTATTAAATATTAATTAACCAATAATAAAATAATAGTTTTAATTAGAGTAGGGTGCTTTTATCTATCCAACTAGTTAATCTTCCACTCCCAAGCAAGTGCGATCTTTCTCTGAGTTTGAGGTCACCAAACGCGTGTAGCAAGAGCATGTCTTTGTACAGACGTTTCTTTTTTTGCTTCTTTTTTTGTTCTTTTTTGTAATCTTAAATTTATATTACTAATGACCTATCTAAAAAGTACTGATGCCATCTTGTAGTCGTCCAGCCACACGAGCTTGGGATGATCTTAACCGTTGATGCATTATAAATTTTTATGTGTATTAATAGTCAAAAACAACTCATGCATGTAAACGACTAACTTTGCCTGCATAAAATAGTGTAAAATTTTAACAACTAAATAAAGGGTAGTTAGTTGTGTGTAATCTCAAACGGACTCTACATAGGATGCATTTGTATACCTTGCTTGCATGTACATGAAACGCCTACTTTTTTTTATTTGTCTAAATAACCAATTTGGTGCACCAGTGTTCAGTGTATGTGAAGAAATCAAAGATGGATATTCCGATCAAAACAAGTATTAAAATAAATAAATTTTAAAAAAAAAAAAGTGATTGAGGGGTGGAGAAAAGCGGATTATCTAATTCTGGCCTCCAGCCTTTATTTTTATTTAATTTTTTATACTTTTGACCTCCAGTCTTTTATGGTGAAAGAATGATACAGATGTTATCATAATGGCAGTATTATCTTTTAATGCATTATTTGCTTGAAAATGACGTGGCTAGTATGGATGACAACATTCTGAACCACTTCAACTTCATAATTACATTTTCTGTATAAATAAAGGAATTAAAAATTAAATTAAATTTTAAAATGACGAAATTTAAATTTCATTATCACTTCAATTTCTGGTAATTGAAAATTTTAGTATTTAGATTTTATGTATGTCGAATTTTGGGATAAATTAGATTATGAAAATTGTGAAATGACACTTATTTTGGTGGAAATTAAAATCGGAATTTTGATGTCCAAATTTTCAAGATTTTTTCTGTGTGTCATTTAATAAATTCCGCGCTAAGTTGCCAAACAAAAGAATTATCGATTAGAAAATAAATCAGCTTTTATATATTAATTCGTTGCATCTAGTGATCCCAAATACAAAACATTTCCATATAAAGTACACTAACAATATGAATCATGCATTTGCTTAGAAGTCTATTTGAACGAATAACTTACAGGTTTAGTATATAACAATCTCACATATTCGATGCACCTGTATATTAATTTTTGGAAGACCGACACACCTATACTATTATTTAAGAAAAATGCTACTTGTCGTCATCTACTTTTCATAAAGTTCCGAGACGTCCCTTTTTACATTTATTACCTCTTTTTTCATAATCAGAACGGTACCTTTCTACATTTACTTCAAAATAATAAAAGGTAAATTGCCGTCTACTTTTCCGAATTAGGACTCCAATTGAACTTAACTTCCCGAACTAAAAAGATAACTAATTTAACATCTGAATGAATTAAAATGGACAATTTTGTGAATTTAATTCAATGTTTTGTTTAACTATAAGAGTATATTTGTAATTTCAAAATAAAATAAATAATAAGAAAATAGAATAACATTTATAAAAATACAAAAACTAGCCCTAT